CTGAACAGAAAACAGTAGACACACTTCTTCCTATTTCTTCCACACAGTATAGCTAAAAACACTAGATACTGTACATAAAACAAACATAAGATTTTGAAAGGGGGAGAGAAGAAGGCAAGCCAGTTAGGAACCTCAGGACCCAAAGAATGACACAGTAGTGAGTTCCTTGGGTATTCTTTTTGCCTTATATATCTCAGACTGGGTGGTACAGAAGTTGCCAACCCAGAAATGCCAGCAGGCACAGACAAAAAAGTCCCTATAAAAGCTTGCTCTTCCTAGACAAAGGACCAGGAAAGGGGAAACCTAGCAAGACAGAGAACTTTTGGACAATAACCACTGTATTCCAGCCAAACATCATGGAAAAAACTGTGGCACACATCAGAAAATGACAAGGGGAGAGAGTAGACTTCCATCTTTGCCAGGCTATAGCAAGGTGCCCTAAGTCCCCTGCCAGGGTGGTGTAATGAAAGACCAAGTGGAGGAGGCAAGACTCTCATCCCAGTCGGGCAATAATGAAATGTCCTTCCATGGAGTCAGTGGAAATCACATGTGGAAACAGGACTTTCACTCCCACCCCGTGGTAACAAGGAACCTTTCCTTCCCCCTGCTAAGATGGTGTCAGAGAAGGTCTAGTGGAGAGTCATGACTTTCACCACCACCTAGTGATAAAAAAGTGCCACTTCCAACCCCGAGGTGTCAACAGAGGCTGGACTTCCACCCCCAACCTGGCAGAAAAGAGGTCGTATCCATATTCTCCGGAAAGCACGGTCTCAGAGGAAGCCTACTAAAACAGAAGAACTCAGTAAGATTCAGTGTATCATAACATAATACTAAAAATGTCCAGGATACAATCTAAAATCATTCATCATACCAAGAGCTAGGAAAATCTCAACCTGAATAAGAAAAGACAGTCAGACACCAACAATGAGGTGTCAACAGATACTGGAATCATCTGACAAGGATTTTGAAACAGCCATCAGAAAAACTTTTCAAGGAGCAATTATGACACAATAAAAACACATGAAAAAATAGAAAGTCTAAGCAGAGAAATAGAAATCTTCAGTAAAGAAATAGAAGATAAAAAGAATGAAAAGGAAACTGAGACTGAAAAATATAATAACTTAGGTAAAATATCTCACTTGATAGGCTGAACATCAGAGTGGAGAGGACAGCCAATCAGTGAGTATGAAAATAGACCAATAGGAATTACCCAGTCTAAACAACAGAGATAGAATAAGAAAACAACTGGGAAAAAAAAAGCCTCAGGTATGTATACAACTATAACGAAAGATCTAATACTCATGTCTTTGGAGTCATGAAGAGAAGAGGAGAAAGAGTGTGGGACTGAAAAATTATTTGAAAAAATAATGGGTAAAAATTTCCCAAATTTGGCAAAAGGCATAAACCTACAGGTTCAAGAAGCTGAGCAAACACAAAATAGGGAGTCAAAGAAATCTATGCCACAATATATGATAATAAAAATTCTGAAAACTAAAAACAAGTGAAAATCTTGAAATCAATGAAAGAGAAATTATACCCCACCTATAGCAAAAACAATTCAAATGGCAGTTGGATTTCTCATCAGAAATCATGCAGGCCATAAGAAAGTGACACGAAATTTTTCAAGTGCTAAAAGAAAAGAACGGTCAAACTAGAATTCCATATCCAGTTAAAACACTCTTTAGGGATGAAGAGGAAATCAAGACATTCTCAGGCAAAGGAAACCTAAAAGAATGTCACCAGCAGACCCACCCTAAAAGAATAGCTAAAGGAAATTCTTGAAAAAGAAAAGATATGGTAAAAGAAGGAGTGTGAAAACATCAGCAAGGAATAAAAAATAAGGGAAAGAGTAAAAACACAGGTAAATAAAATCGACTTTCTTTCTCTTGAGTTTTCTAACTTTTGACTTTTGAAGCAAAAATAGATAACATTATGTGATGTGGTTCTCAGTGTATGCAGAAGAAATATTTAAGATAGTTATAAACAGGGGAGAGGAAAACAATGAACAGGGATGTAAGATTTCTACACTTCACTCAAACTCATAAAATGTAGACAGTAGTAGGATGTGATGACTTATCTATGTGTAATGTAATACTTAGTGCAGCCATTAAAAATCTAAACAGAGAGATATACTGAAAAATACTATAGTATCTGGGGGAGGGGGTTGAAGATGCTACTGGTATCTAGTAGTAGATACAAGTTGTACACTGTATAGCTCCAGAAGTTACCGTTTGCCCAGACTGCAAAGTAAATAGCTCCCCCCTAGAGTTGTACAGTACACAACCAGCATAATTGGTCCCCACAGCGCTAGACTCTCACACACTTAATGTTGATCATAAAAGCAAGTCATAGATGAATATATACAATATTACACCATTTACATGAAGTTTAAAATGTCAAACTGAAGAACATATTATTTCGGGATACATAAAAATATAGTAAGCCTATAAAGACCTGAGTAGTCTTGGTCATAGTGTGCTGTTTCAGCTAGATATTAGATTCATGAGTGTTTGTTAGCCATATAACATTCTTTTGTACGTACAAAATAATCCACACTCAAGAAAGAAAAGCAAATGACATAATAAAATAGGAAAAGTAAATAGAGATCAATTCAGGATAGTAGTAGCCTCTGGAATAATGGAAAGTGATATGACAGGAGAAAGATGTACAGGAAATCCAGTAGTATTTATTAAGTTAGCTTGCTGAGTATTTGTCACATTTTTCTTCATACCTTATACATTGATTGCATATCTTCTTTTGTTTGTGGCTGTCAGAAGATGGAGACCATAAAGTCAGCAGTGAACAGAATGGTCCCTTAACAAGAATTAGTCCCATCTGGGTGAACCTTGTGGTACCCAGAGAGTACAAAGTAGAGACAAAGTCTAAACTTCTCATTCTAGAAAGGCCATAGGTAAGCTTGTAAACAAAGAAGAAATATTCAGCTTCTCCTTCCAAGATTCAAGATGATAAGGGTAAACTCAATCTAAAGCAACAGTACGAAATATCATAAAAGTTGAGGTGGGAGGGCATTAAAATTATGAGATACATGTTTTGTACTGAATATCATCTGAAATGGTTGCAGATGTCATAATATCATACCTCTGTGGAAAAACATGAGATAAAAGAGCCCACTGTCCAAGGACCACTCGTGTTTGTATCATGGTTAAATATAAAAGACCACCCAGACAAGTGAAAGGGAGACCATTTCTGTATTTAGACTCTTTCATTGTAATTGTAACAGCAATATTGGAAGAGCCCATTTTACTCTTTAGAGTCCTAAATTTCCATCCAGCATTTTGAAGAGTCACTCTGAAGCAATGCAATGTTTGTCACACATTGTCCCTTTTCAGAGAATCGGTATGGCGTTCTAAAGAGGTAGTTTTTGAGGAAGCCAAGCGCATGCATATGAAACCATGTAAGTCCTTCGTTGTGACAGTAAGTAAGAAATTGAGCAAGCTATGTTTCAACAAAGAAGACTTCTCTAAGAAAGAGAGCAAGGACTCTGAAAGACACTGTGTCAGGATGAAATCTACTCATGGCTCAGTTCTCAGTTCAAAAGCTTTAGCTCTGTTTTCTGCAGACCAGTCCATGGGTGTAGTGGAATATACTTGTGAGTTACAGGCAGAGAATGTTTCCTAGATCTAGTCAAACACATAGGCAAAGGCAGGAGAATGCTTCTAAAACTTTCAAGCAGTCTTGACTAAACAATGGCTGAAGTAGACAGCTACTGTGGTCTGCCTCCCAATTTCCCTTTTTCTAGAAACAGCTCTCCACATTTAAGAGAAACTACCCCTTCTCCTACTCCACCCAGGTGCTCTCACTGGGGCAACCAGCTATACTTGTGACCAGAGAGATGACCTCACAGCCCCCATTTCCCCTTTAATTGGAGCAGTCCCTCTCAGAGAGCAAACCTGGTCCAAGCTCCTATCATTTCTCACTTGGATTATTACAATAAGCAACTGGTCTCCCTACTTCCACCCTTGTCTCTCTACAGTTCCTTCTCAACACAGAAGCCAGAGCTGAATGCAGATCAGATAATGTTACTCTTCCTTGCAAAACACTCTGGTGGTTGCCCACCTCATACTCTCAAAGTCAAAGTCTTTACTATGACCCACAAAGCCCCATGGAACCTGCCTTAGCTCCCTGGCCTCATTTCCCACTCCCGTTCCCCTTGCTCACTCCAGTTGAGTCTCAGTGGTCTTGCTGGTGTTCCTCACACATGCCAAGTGCACGCCCACCTCACGTCCTTTGCACTTGCTATTGTCTCCAACTCCAGTTACCTGCATGGTTCAACCCCTCTCTTCCTTCAAGTCTTTGCTCAAATGTCATTTCCCTCATAAGGGCTTCCCTGGCAGGAATTTAAATCCTATTTAAAATGCAACCTAGAGATTATCTCTTTCTGAGAAAGACAAAGACAATACCAGAAAGAGAAAGACAATACCACATGATATCACTTATATGTGGAATCTAAAATATGACACAAATGAACTTGTCTACGAAACAGAAACAGACTCACAGACATAGAGAAGAGACTTGTGGTTGCCAAGGGGGAGGGGAGGAAGGGGGGTGGGGGAGGGATGGACTGGGAGTTTGGGATTAGCAGATGCAAACTATTATGTATAGAACGGATAAACAACAAGGTCCTACAGGGAACTATGTTCAATATCCTGTGATAAACTATATTGGAAAAGAATATGAAAAAGAATGTATATATATATAACTGGATCAGTTTGCTGTACAGCAGAAATGAACACATTGTAAATCAACTATACTTCAATAAAATAAAATTTTTAAAATTGCAATATCCACCCCCAGCCCCAGCACTCCCTATCTCCCTTCTACGCTTGATTTTCTCTTTCCATAGCACTTATCCCTTTCTAATATACTATCAAATGTTCCTCTTTACTCTTGTTCGCTGTCTGAATTTCCTCTCCTGGAATATAAAAAGAGGGTTTTTCCTCATCTTTCTTTCCCTGCTATTCCAGCATCTAGAACAATACCTGGCATGTAATAGGTGCTCCGTGGCTACTTGTTTTATGAATTGAATGAATGAAATCTGGGAAGATGAGAGCTGGAAGTTGCTGTCATCCATGATCCAATCTTCTGGAAAACCTGTCTAAAAGAGGAAAGCTGACACAGAGAAACAGGCACTCTCCACCCTAGAGGGGGACTAGCCTCTGTCACTCTACTCCCAGAAGTCAGCTGCATCTCTGCCTTTTCCAGGGTTTTCTGCATGAGCCAATAAATCCTCCTGTTTGTCTAAGGTGGTTCCAGGCAAGCTTCTATCATTTGCAACCACAAGAGTTCTAACATGTGAGCATTCTTTGCACAGACATATACAGAGAGAATTTTCCCTTTTACTAAGTAAAATCCTCTCTGCTTCATTTTCTGACCTCAGCTCATCCTGACTTGGTGATGGTTCTTGATTCCACACTAGGAGACTTCCGTTGCGATATCATTTACAGTCATTTGAAATCTCTGTGTTCACCAACCTTGTGCAAAACAGGATACAGAGTGAGGCAGGGTGTACTGTCTCCCGCATCCTGCCCCATCCCATCCAGCCCTTCGCTGATCCAGCTTTATAGCCACCCATACCCCAAACACCTGACCTCTAGACACTCACATATTCGCCTGTGTTGTCCCACCTCCTCTCTCTGCCACATTACCACTAATCCCACCCTGCTGGTCAGAAATCGATAACAAAGAATGAGGAAACCAAGGGGATTGTGACATACCAAGAACATCTTTGCAACCCATCAAAGTGTCCTAACCTACCGGTTGGGAGACAGCAGCTCAGAAAGCACCATATATGCTGTTCGTTTTGCAAAACAGCCAGCCAGCCAAATGCAAAAGGATTCAAGGGGTTTGCGAGACTGTTTCTTGCAAGTGTAAAAGTCTGAATAAACACACATGATGTTATCATTGACCTACTTTGTAATTTCTTAGCCAGTAGGACTACACACTCACAAAACAGTTCTGTTAACAAGCCCTGTCATTCTTCCACCCAATCATTCATTTAACAAACATGAATAGAATCCCCGTTATCTGAGTCAGACATTCCCAGGTGCTGGGCCCTGAATGGGACTCCCAGTCTGGAACGAGAGACAGACACACAAGCAGACACACAACAACAGCGTGGTAAAGAAGTATGAGGTGCAGGATATTTTGTAAGTACTGTGGAGAAACATCTCATTTTGTTTTCAGGAGCCCAGAAGAACATCTTTTATTTTTTTTGCTTTTTTTGGTTTTTTTGTTTTTCCCCCTTGGATCTTTTTTTTTTTTTTTTTGTATAATTGCTTTACAATGGTGTGTTAGTTTCTGATTTATAACAGAAGAACATCTTAGTGGAGATAATGTCCAGGGATTCATCTTAAAGAATGAATGGAAGTGAACCCAAGAAAGGAGAGGAGGAACATTCTAAGAAAAGAGGCAGCGTAAGCCAAGGCATGGCGACTACAAGCACTTTACTGCTGCAGGGGTATAAAGGAAGGCAGGGGTGGCAGAAGGAGAGGGGGTTGGGGGCATAGGGATGGGCATAAAGGGCTGAGAATATGGAGCTGCGCCTCCCAGCTGCCCTACAAGGAAGGACTTGATACCCCAGCTGTGCGAGTACAGAGAGCAGACAGCCCTCAGCCCCTCAGGGTCTGCCTCAGCTGCAGAGAAGCACCTCACCCAAAATCACACTATTCTGGGGACAACCCACATACAATGACTGATTGAGGCAAAGGTATAAAGGCCTGATCATCTTAGCCCAGCTTGGGACAACTTTGAAGGGTCATCTAGAGCTATCTAGAGCCCCCTGTAGTATAGGCTAAAGCTGTCTTTGGACCTGCACTGCAGCTCGACATTTCCCTCTGCCCACCCCTGCTTCCTTCGTCTCCTTTCCACAGGTGTTGATCTCAAGGGCTCTCCTTAATAAACACCCTGCACGCTAAACTCAGCCTCATCCTCAGTCTGCTTCTGAAGGGAAGCCAACCTGCGACACGGGCCATTAATGTCTATTTAGAAACTTGGACTCAGAGCTATGCTGGGGTTTTAAAGAAATTTCACTTCCAGCACTACAGCATTATCACCATATGTGTTCACCTTCAGAAACGGTGCTGGCAGACACAAGAGTCTTTCACTTACCCCAGTAACCATGCCTAAGAGTGGCTACGTAAGAGAGGTCCCACTCTGTCCTCCAGTTTGCCTTGAAGGTGACCTGAGTGTGTCTGAGAAGATGGGAGTATCCCTTCTAGAGAACTTCACCCATGACCCAGCCACAGCCCATCCCATCCATTCATTTATTCATTCAAGAAACACGTCCTGAACCTATGCTAGGCACTGTGCTAACTCGGTCACTTCTTACCCTAGAGCTCATCTTTAAGATTATTTTAGAATTCTCAACTATGGTCATTAAAAAATTAGACTGAAAGAAACTTTAGTCATAGGAACGCTGATGTGTATGGTTTGCCTTGAAATTCCTTAGCTGTTTTCTGAGTCCAGACTCTCTGAGGGCACCTTTGTTTGAGGTTTGGCTTCCCATATGGTGCTTGCAGTGAGAGACAAGGCCAGCCGGAGGGCTGGCAGAGCTCTCTGCGGCTAAGGTTGCTATTGAGAACCCATAAATAGTCATTCTGGACTCCCTTTTTTGTGCAATCAATTTATGAATTATGGGATACAACAGGGAAGTTCTTGGTTCCAAAAACAAACTCGAAATGCTGGCCCAGAGGTGGCATTCAGCTCAACATTTATGAAGCTCTTTGTGCAAAGCACTGTGTGAATACAAAGATAAGCAAGGCACATTCCAGCCCTTACCAAGCCTGTAGGCAGATGAGACAAGTCCATAAATGATGGGCACAATCAATAAAGATACAAGATATGATAAAGGGAAGAAGAAAGGAGAGCGTGGGAGGATCTCGCACTTGGGCACCTGCTATGCACCAGGCATTTTATCTGTGTAATTCCCTTTAACGTTAACAGCAATCTTATGAGGTAGCCTTTTTTTTTCTTATTATTTTATTGATGAGAAAAACTGAAGAGTCTGTGTTCACACGTCTAGTAAGTAAAAGAATACCAGCCTGCTTGACTCCAAAGTCCAAGCTCTCCCCTTACAACCTACCAGCTCCCATAGCACTGTAACAGAAATGTGAAAAGAACATTGCTGGTGGCCTTTCAAGAGAGCAAGGGCTTCTGGGTTCAAAAGTCAGGAAAAACTACCTGGAATAGGTGATGTTAGGGAGAGGTCACGAAGTCTGGGTAGAGTTTTAACTAGCTGAGGATTATAGGGAAGGTGTTCTGGGTGGAGAGAATAGCGTGATCAAACGTCCCAAAGTATGGGAAAGGCCCAAGGACCTGCAGGGTGTGTTTCATCTCAGGTTGCCCAGGAAGCAGACTCTGGGATGGAGTTTAGCATTTCGGAAACGTATTCGGGAGTATCCTTGGGATCATCCCCTGTGGAGGAGACAAGGAAATATTAAGCAAAGGAAGGTGCTGGGCTGCAATATAGCCACACCAAACAAAAAGCCTGAGCCAATCTCATAGATTGGTCTGAAGCTGGAATAACTTTTCAGAGTTGCCTTGCCTTGAGACAAAGGGGATGGGTCTTTATAGCACCCTCTCCACACACAACTTTGTTTTTTTTTTTTTTTTGGCCGCACAGCGCAGCTTGTGGGATCTTAGTTCCCTGACCAGGGATTGAACCTGGGCCCCCAGCAGTGGAAGTGCGGAGTCTTAACCACAGGACCAGCAGGGAATCCCCAGCCCTTCTGACCAGTCATTGGATGTAGCCTGTCCCTGGGAAGGGAATGTGAACCTTGGGTGAGGTGGGTGTCTTCATCTGAGAGCAGACTACATGGCAGCCATCATCCATGAACACTCCTGGCAGCTGGGGGAGTGGGTACCTCAGTCCCGAAGGGAAATTCTGTCTGGGTGGCCCACCACGAAATTCACTACAGGATGCGTGTCCTGGGCAGTAAGCAGGCTGCTCCGGCAAAACAAGAGTGCAAGACTAAGAAAAAATGTAGTTGGAAAGTTGAGAGGGGGTGGACGTTGAAGGCCAGCCTTTGTGTTTTATAAAGAAGGAAAAAGAGTTACTGAGTTTTGCGTGAGGCAAGGTCATGGCTAGAAAATGCACTTGTCGTAATGCATGGGACATCTGAGAGTAGGGAGAACCTAGAGGAGAGCCAATGGGTTCCTCCATAGTCAAGGCGGAAGGTCAAGAGCAGAGGAACGACCGGGTGGCAGTAGTGAGGGGAAGGAGGGGATAGAGGCGGCAGAGGTGTTGAGGATGCACAGACCTTGCGTGCTAAGCACTTTGTACAAAAGGCCTATAAGACTGAAAAAGAGACAATACCTTACCATGGTTCAACCATTCCATGGAATACTAACCAGCTTTTCGATGTAAACTCCATGTAGGCAGGGATTGTTGTTGTTTTCCCAGCATCTAGAGCAATGTCTGGCAAATAGCAACTATTTGTATCCATCAGATTTTGCTGTGATCGGGCCAAGTTACAAAAATTCCAAAATCTCAGTGGCTCACAGCAACAAATGTTTATTTTTTTGCTCATGGTTCTACAGTCAACTGCAGTAACTCTGTTCCGGGCTGTGGGCTGGGTTCAGATCTGCTCCATGCATCTCCCTGTGCCAGGGACCAGGCTGAAGGACATGGGAAACATACTATTCTTTGAATGGAGGGCAGGAGCTCAAGAAGGCTAGCAGAACTTGCAATGCCTCTGAAAGCTTCTGCTAGGATCTGACACGCTGTCAATTCTACCGTCCACATCCCAGTGGCCTAAGCAAGTCATATGAGCAAACTCCACGTCAACGGGGCAGCGAAATATACTCTTCCCCTGAGGAGCTGGGGAAAGGGGAGTGAATATTTGCTGAACAACAATAAAATCGGTATTGAGCACAGTGGTGCTCGATAGATATTTGTTGAATGATTGTATGAATAAATCCACGTGTGTTGATATGGAAAGATCCCTAACACAGCCCATTAAGTGAAAAAGGCAAGTTACAAAGCAATACATACACTACGATCCAATTTATAAACACACATACCAAAAATAAAACCATACACTGATATATGTGCATATTTTTTCATAAATGCATAGAGAAGGGGCTGAAAGTAGATACAATAAACAGTTAACAGTGTAACTTCTGGAAAGGGGGCATAAGATTGGGTAGGAGTAAAAGGGGACATTTGCTTTTTTATCATTTGAAAACTTTTTATGACAAGAAGGTATTTGTGCTTACTTTGTATGGTTTTTTTAAAACAATGTGAAAAAAGGAAGAAGAAAAAATAAGGCAAGGTCCATTGTGAAGCTCTTCACACAGTCTGGATTGGAAAAATGTCAAATGAGTAATTTGGAGGAAGGAAGTTAATGTCATAGTAAGAGTGACAAATTAATAACAAAATGTGCCCTCTTATAATTGTTCAGTTACTGCTCTGACATTTAAAAACATTACAACCTTTATGGTAAGTGCCTTTATCTGACTTATGAAATGATTAT